TAACTTTCATACCCAAAGAACATTTGACCCCCCAGGAAGCCCAGCAGGTGCCAGTCCAGCACTCAACATGCTTGAGTTCCAGCCTTGCACTTCCCACCTGCACGGCGTGGGAGAAAACGAGCAGCTCATGTTTTCCCAATGTTGATCTCAAAGCCTTGTGTTAGATAAATATGATCCTGAAATAGCTCAAAGATTACAAACTAAGTTCATGGTTTTTTTCATACCTCAAATTTTATCCCAAGGCTGAGAAAATTATTTCCGTGTTTTCTCATTATATGGGGGAATTTCAAGAATTTGCAGCAGGGTCTGTTAGTACTTGTCGACATCTCCCACTCAGAGTCCTAGCAGTTATTGCTGTCCAATATCTCCATACTATATTCAGCTTTATTTCTAAAAACCATTAAGACTTGGGTGATAAAGGAGATTCCTGTTTCACAAAGCGATTTCTTCACTAGTCAAGGTGTGCTGAAAATTTGTTGGCAATGTCAAATTAGGTCTGGCTTTTAAATGGGTGTGACACAGCAAACAAGAAGACATTCATAGCCATGTTTATGATGCTTTGAGCGAATCATTTTAAGATTATTCGTAATGCATGTGAGGAGTCTTCAAAATGTTTATGGAAACACATACCATCTCCCAAAAATATGGGATACAGAATGTCTACATTATATAAGTGTACCATAACTAAATTTTCAAACTTCCTGAAAACATTCTCATATATTACACATTTTCATTTTTCTGTAAGGATATGCCACAGTAGATTGCCTTTCCATTCTAAAGTAGACATACCTGCAAATGAAGCCAAATATCTAGTTATAATTGTAGCTCAAACAAAATGCACCACTCATGTGGATGCTAACTCAAAGCTTCAAGAACCAAGAACACTGGATTTCAGTTATTACCCAGGGAGAATGAAAATCGCAGATGGAAAAATGCACTGTTTTTCAGTTATAGAATGTCATCTGCTAATCAAAGATTTGGCTCATGGGTCTGGCATCCATACATTGTTCCATCTACATATTTTTTCCTTCTGGCGACAATGCTCTTATTCATTTCATTCATTACTACAAAACCCCTTGGCCTCCCTCCCAATAGCCTGCCTTTCTACTTTCCAATCCCTGCCCCAGGCCCACTTTTCCCTTCCCTCCTTCCTTCCTTCCTTCCTTCCCTGCTTCCCTCTTTCCTTCCTTCCCTGCTTCCCTCTTTCCTTCCTTCCTTCCCTGCTTCCCTCTTTCCTTCCTTCCTTCCTTCCCTCCTTCCTTCCTTCCTTCCCTCCTTCCTTCCCTCCTTCCTTCCTTCCTCCCTCCCTCCCTTCCTCTCTCCCTTCCTTTCTTCCCTCCTTCCTTCCTTCCTTCTTTCTTCTTCCTTCTTTCTTTCTTCTTCCCTTCCTTCTTCTCTCTTTGCCATATGCTCGTCATGTTTTATTTTAACGTATAGGTGGGGGCCCAGTGTGGTAGCCTCATGGCTAGATCCTCACTTGCATCCACTGGAATCCCATATGGGCTCCAGTTTGTGTCTTGGCTGCTCCACTTCCTATCCTGCTCCCTGTTTGTGAAGCAGTAGAGGATAGCCAAAAAGCTTAGGACCCTGTGCCTGTGCAGGAGACCCAGAAGAAGCTCTTAGCTCCTCTTTTGAGATTGTCTCAGCTCTAGCTGTTGCGGCTACTTGGGGAGTGAACCAGTAGATGGAAGATCTTCCTCTGCTTCTCTATGAATTTCTGCCTTTGCAAAAAAAAAAAAAATGAAGACTGTAATTATTTTTTGAAAAATTAAATATTTATTTATTTGAAAAGGAGAGAGAAAGAGGAAGAGACAGGGAAATCTTCCATTTGCTCACTCACTCCTCAGAAGATTGCAATAGCCAAAACTGGGCCAGGCAAAAGTCAAGGCTTTTATTCGGTTATCCCATGTGGATGGCAGGGTCCAAAGCTGGGGTCATCTTTTGCTGCTTCCCTAGACCATTTTGAATCTGCAAGAACCAGGACATCTGCCAGCAATGATGTAAAACAGCCCCAGCTTTTCAGCCCTTAAAGGTGCTCATTAATTGGCAGGAAAGAAAATTATTTCTTGCACAGATGTTATTTAAAAGAATAACTATCTTTTATGATATTGTGGAAGAGGGGAGCAACATTATCTTGTTAAACAAAAAGGTCAATATGATGAATCATCCAGTGCTAATGTGATGAGCAGTTAACATTTAACTTCTCTACCATGTTGTTTGATGTCTAGCGCAGTGGTACCAATGTGTTCCACAAATTGGAATTTTTATCTATTACAGAAAAAAAGAATAATAAACACATTAACTTTCGTTCCATACATTTATGAAACAAATATGTTCTTGATTTTCCACTTATTTGCTGAATTTTTAATAGTTCAATGCATTATCCAGTTGAGACCCACCACAATAAAAATAGAACAAGAAATGGGCCCGGCATAGTAACCTAGTGGTTAGATCCTTGTGTTGCATCCACTGGGATCCCATATGGGCACCAGTTCATATCCTGGCTACTCCATTTCCCATCCAGCTTCATGCTTGTGGCCTGGGAAAGCAGTAGAGATGGTCCAAAGCCGTGGGACCCTGCAATTGCTTTGGAGACCCAGAAGAAGCTCCTGACTCCTGGCTTTGTGTTGGATCATCTCTGGCCTTTGCAGCCACTTGGGGAGTGAACCAGCAGATGGAAGATCTTTCTCTGTTTCTCCTTATCTCTATGAATCCGACTTTCCAATAAGAATAAATAAATAAGACTTAAAGAAAAAAGAAATAAAGAACAAGGAGATGGTTACACAGGAGCAGAGTCTTTAGTTGTAATTATGTTCAGGTGGCAGCATCACGCATGGTCAAATGTGTGCTGGGGAAATTGGTACAAGTGATCAATGGATGTGGTGAAATTTTCAGCATCGGCACTTGTTTTAACTTTGTAATGGAACCATTGCAGTTTGGATCTTCCTGACCCCAGAATCAATGGAAATACTGTGGGAAGGTGGCAAAATACCTGCAATAATAAAACCAGGCACTGAGTACATTCTCTCAAAAGAGGAATAAATGAGTATGGCAAGAAAAATTAGACATCAATTATGGACTACTCCATTGTTGCTTAGATTGTTGTCCATTATTTCATGGAACTGCTGAAATTATATTTTAAGGCCTTTACTGATCATGTAAATTCATAGGAGTTGATGTTTTCTGTCCTCCAACTAAAATTCTCTGTGAACAAAAAGTGCAATAAGGACTGAGGAAGACTTCTTATGAAAAGATCTTTCCTTCAATGTCGGTGATAAAAGATACTAAGTGAAACAAAACAGTGTTTTTTTAAGGGATCCATGATTTAGCCCAGTCTTTAGCGATAACTTCTTAGACCAGTAAAGGTAGGTGGAACACACACGATTGTTTCCTTATTTGACCGCGAGGATAGAAATCCTGTGCACAGATGGCGGAACTCTGAGATGTGCAGAAAGTATGGTGTGTAGCGTGAGCTTCGCAGAGCAGAGCTCTTCCTGGTCGCTCCCTGACCGAGGTCAGCTGGGTGAGAGCTTGGCACACCCCCCCAGCCTGCAGCCCATTGAAATCCATGCTGCACCACTGCTTGCTTCCACAGCTGTTAGATGGTCAGCAACTCGCGGCTACAACGTCTCTTGGGTTACCCATTCATCCATTCTCTCGCCCACTCTTCCCGCACTCACTCTCATCCCCAGCAAAGCCCTGTGCATCCGTACATTAATGCATCGACCCTTTGTGTGTGCCCACGTGCACAGGTGAACGTGTTTATACTTGCTGAAAAGACCAACTTAAAACAAAGGAGCAAAAACTGGAGAATTTTGCATTTTGGTGTTTTTCTTTTGTATTTGCGCAGACCATTTTAGGATTTTCAGTCTCAACAAAACACTATTAAAACAAAGAATCTAGCAAAATATTTGTGCATGTACTGCTAAACAATTCTAGCAATTTTATTAAGCAATACCTTTATTATTTTTTGAATATTCTTAACAGACTGGAACAAAACATTTTTTTATTCAAAACAAAATATGCATACTGTACGCATGTCGCAGGGTTAAGTCTGATGCAGAGGATAGAATCTGTTTAAACAAAAACAAATGCCTGGGGAAATTTCATAGCTATAAAGTTAGTAACTAAATTTTGCTCGCTAAGAGGACATTTTCTACGGATTTCCTTCATCTCATGGCCACACAGCAAACTCACTGGAAGTGACTTCCCAAGTGTAGTTAGAGGATTGGAAGGAATGTAAAGTTTTTTTTTTTAACTATTTGTTTGTCTTTAAAAACAGCCCTTATTAACTCTTCCTTCCGCTGATTCTACTGTAAACTCAGAAAAGCCTTTTGTAGAAAGCAAATTCACACACACTCAGCAGGCGAAATGTACCCACAAAGCACAAACACGGCGTGCTTGAACTTCTGCTTTTCCCCAACTACCTAGAGCAAGTTTGAGAGATGAGGTTTTTGCATTTAGTAAAAACGGCTGACCTATTTCTTGTTTAAAACAGAAATTGTTCCTCTGTGATAATGCAGAGCTGCATACACTTTATGCCTGGAGGAATCTTAATCCTTACGTGGGGGAAATGCTGGGGTACGATTGGACATACTGTACAGACCGCAGGTGTTGGAGCACTGCTGCTGTCTCTTCCCTGATGACAAAGGAGGAAGGAATGAGCTGGGATTGCATCCCAACCTTTGGTTGCCTTCACCACGGCCCGTAAGTGCCCATCTCTGACGGGATTGAGTTGACCATGAATGCCCACCTGAACCCTCAAGGCAAGGACTGCCTCAGCACCCTCGTCTCGCGTTGTTCCTCTCCAACAGACTAGCAAGAAAGGACTGGAACGGGAACTGGAGCGACACAGCTCACGGTGGTTTGCTTTCCTTTTCTTTTGTTGGTGTGAACTGCCTGGTTCCTGTTGTTACGGAGAGCACTTGTTGTGTTCAGCTAAACAAGACCTTGCCAGGCCCCTGGGCCCTGCTCTGTGGGTTTGGGCAGGTGGCTTGACGGCTCGGGAGTGTGCAACCCAGCCACTGTGATCACACACAGAAGCAAGCGATGGTCTGCTCAGGGGTGAGCAAGGCGGGTTCACAAGGGCTGGCTGCCAAGGGCCTTGGTTCTGACTGCAGATGGGGAGACTCGGGGAATTTTTTTGTTTCTTTTTTGTTGTTTTCCTTTTTTTTGTCTTTTTGTCTATTTTGTTATTTTTTTGTTGTTGTTTTTTTGCTATACCGTGAGGTAATAGCATTCATTCCTCTAATAGAAACTGACAGGACATAAAGACAGAACTATCTGATGAACACACACAATGACTAGAAATATATAGAGATAGAGACAGTGGAAACACTGAGTTCACCTCTGAGAAAACCATCCCCCCAAAGAAATCCAGTATTAACAAGTGCAAAAACTGAACGAACAAATAGCCCCCAACCGAAAGGAAAGCAAATAAAACCTCCAAACATTAAAACACAGTGTATAAAATGGCGTGAGAAATCGAAAGTCACTTGACAGCCTTTCTCAGTCAATAAAAAGCTGCGGCGAGTTCGTGTCCTAGTCGGGGTTCCGGCCCGTCGATTTGTTTGTATTGGAACCCCACAGGCCTTGCAAGAAGTAACGTGAGCGCAAAAGCACCCAGTTTCTGTACGCTGGACAGCAGCTGTTTTTCCGCGGCGGCGCTTGTGCCTTGCTACTCCTCGTTGGTGGAGTTTTCCTCCAGCGCGGGGAGACCTCGGAAGCTCACCCCGGCGGGGTTGTGCACGGCGGAGGCCGTGAGCACGCTGTGCAGCAGGATCAGCACCAGCACACACAGCTTGAGCCGGCCGCTGCACAGTCTCGTGGCCGACGACAGGGTGAGCGAAGTCCTAGGGCAGGAGTCGCCCGGCTCTCCTGTCCCCTTGGCTGGGTGGTGGGATTGCTCCTCGCGCCTCACGTCACAGCATTCGGGTTCGTCGTCGGTCAGGAAGGTTTCGTAGAGCCCTGAGGGAAGAAGACAGGCCGAGGTTAGAGGAAGGAGAGAGAGCAAAGGTCAGTGCAGAGCGAGGCTTTCGTTTAACATTCTCTAAGTAAAGGTGTTTTCAAGACAGTTCAAGCGCAGTCAGGGTGGCCAATCACAGTCTAAGACCGGTTGCGTTAAGTTGCTGCGTGCAAGCTTTTGTCTGACTGTTCTGGATATTGTAAATCCAGAATGTAACATAATCTGTGGCTCTGGATCTACCTGGAGACCAAGCACATACGGGCATGAATGTGGCCACCTAATGCAAAATGCATTAGCTTTATTAATCGTCTGTGTGCTCAGTCTCACAGTGGCTTAGTCCTCCTGCATCCAACCGGTGCTCCGGTCCTCACGATGTATTTTCTAGATATTTCTCCGGCTCGGCCATTTGCTGCATTCTGTCTGGACCGTAATGGAGGAGTCTGGTTGCTCTTCCAAACCTTCCATCAACTTTGCGTCTCAGTGACTATACCTCTATTTTTGTATCTGTTCTCCTCCCACCCCCATTTTTCTTCTTCCTCTAAGAACACGCATTGTTCTTATTTTGAAGAGACATTTATTAAAAATGAGTTCTTACTTTGCAAACTTGCAAAGGGGTGAATAGAATAACGCAAACGGCTATAAGCAATCTTGTTAAACTTGTGCCTTGTTATGTTAATGCTGTCGGGAGTTACACTAATGTTTTCAGGAGTATTTAAGCTATTGCGTTTATAATATTTTTCATGTGCCTAAAACATTGTCTCAGATTTTACAATGAATTTGCTACATAAATGTTGTCATATTATTCTCGTGCTTGAACAACACAAACATGTGGGTAAAGGAAAAATAAGTATAGGATTAAATGGGATTCTTCAACTGGAAAGCTTTCTCTGTGCTCTGCACAAAGGGAAAACCTGAAAAAACAGGCTATGCTTCTAAGTGTTATCAAAGGCAGGAAGATATTTCTCTTGTCTCTAGACTCAAAACCACACTTCGGGTTGTTCCAGAAACATCCGCGACTGGACCACTAGGCACATTGGTCTTTCTTCCTGGGATGTCTTGCATCCGCGGATCGACCTAGGTCTCTGTTTTCAGCTCCAGTGGATCCCCTGGGACGCCTGCACTCCCACTCCTGAGCTGCTAGGGCGGCAGGGCTAAACTGCAACATGGCAGCTATGCCCTTACTTGAAGCACAGCTATCATTTTTAAAATGCCAGTCACCTTGAACCATGAAGCAACACTTAGCATAATGACAAGAATAAACTCAGTGTCTCTACTTGCTTAGTTACAAAAAAAATCTATTAAATGATAAACACTTCAATCTTCAGTTTCTGTTAAACAAACAACCGAGATATCCTTATAGTGATGCTTACAATATTCATTTCTTCTTAGGCATTCAAAGGTAAACTTCACCTTCGCCTAGATAGAATATGGAAAAAAAACTGAATTAATGAGGTCTGCAGCGCCGACACTTTTACTGAATGATATATATTTTTCATATTAGCTATCCCATTGGTACACTGATCATTCATTGAAGGATATATTTTCCATATTAATCTCTAAAACAAAGCGTATGTACTAAGATTGTAAGAGATAAAAAGGTTATTGATTGACATTTTAGACTGTTAATAATTAGAATATGTTTAATGATGTCACCTAAATAGGTTCTTTCTAGGTGGCTCTTTGATTTATAACTAACGTTGGTTCAGAAAGAAATAAGGCAATTCACTGAGGACAACATGAGTCCTTCTTAGTGTCTTTTTCTCGTCTGTCCATTTTCCAACAGCCTGTATTCAGCTGTACATGCACAAATCTATTAAAGATCAAACAATTCTACAGGCTACTTAAAAATTAAAACATTACCCCACCAACCACACCCCAAATTCTTCTTCCTCCATGGAAAATATTTGTGCCTCTTCTAGCTCTTTCTGTATTTGGCTCCAGCTCTGCAAGTAGCATACTTTATGATTGTCTTGATTTTTTTTGGTATTATCTGAAAATGTACCCTTAGGGTGTGTGTGGATAAAATACACTCCCTCACTTTCTTCCATGGTACTGTGCACACGAAGCTTAGCACAGGCAGTCGGTAAACCCTAGTCTTCCTAGAACACTTAGACTTTCTCACAAGTAATAACCCCTTGTCATTTTCCAAGAATTTGTTAAGTCAACCTAAAACATGTTGCTGTTTGTTTCCACTGCATTGTACTTTTAAATCAGAAAGTGAAATAAATTTGTCTCACTACAGCTTTTCCCTAGCCCAAATGTCCCAATTTTATTTTTATGCTAAGCTTAATATAGTTGTATTTTCCAATGTCTTTTTTGTGCTTTGTTTGTGTTAATGCTTAAAACTGAAAAATAAAAAATAAAATCCCATTTCATTATAGTACTACTTAAATATTTCACTGCCTGTCAAATAGTTTCATCTTTTTGTACATTATCATAGAAATTTTACATGACTTTCTTTCTGTTCTTTTTTTTAAGATTTGTTTATTTTTATTGGAAAGGCAGATATACAGAGGGGAAGATCTTCCATCCAATGATTCACTCCCCAATTGGCTGAAATGGCCAGAGCTGAGCCAATCTGAAGCCAAGAGCCTCTTCTGGGTCTCCCATGTGGGTACAGGGTCTCCCATGTGGGTGCAGGGTTACAAAGCTTTGGGCCATCCTCGACTGCTTTCCCAGGTCACAAGCAGGGAGCTGGAAGGGAAGTGGAGCCGCCGGAATTAGAACTGGTGCCCATATGGGTTCCAGGCACATTCAAGGTGAGGACTTTAATTGCTACACTATCACGCTAGACCCTTATATGACTTTCCACTTGATACAAAATTCTCTACTATAATTTTTCCTAGGGGTTGTAACTACTTTCTACCACTGTCTCTACATCACCAAGTCATATAGCTGCAGAGCTGTGCCACTACTAATGCCCTAATGCAAACAGAATTCACCATATCACCAATAACAGTATCCTATTTGTCCTTCTCAGCTTAACTCTCTTCTGCTGGAGTCAAACTCTAGACATCAGTTAATATATGTGTATATACATAGTGTGCATCTAGTTTAAAAACTGAAAATGTTCCCTACTGAAGATAATTTAAGTATCTGAGATTCATAATGCTTTATAATAATTTTTAAAACATTGTTTAACTACATTCTAGTGTCACAGTGAGAATTGAACCAATTGTAATATCCCAACACTCCCTGCCTAGGAGAGCATCAACTCAACAATCAAAAATAGCTGTGATATTAGGCATGATACATTCCAGGATAAAAGTAATCTTAATTGTTAATTGTTTCCCAAATACAATAACACAGCCCTGTGTAGTAGCCTAGTGGCTAAAGTCCTTGCCTTGCATGCGTCAGGATCCCATATGGATAGTGGTTCACATACTGACTGCTCTACTTCCCAACCAGCTCCCTGCTTGTGGCCTAGGAAAGCAGTCAAGGATTGTCCAAAGCCTTGGGACCCTGCACCTGCGTGGGAGACATGGAAGAAGCTCCTGGTTCCTGGCTTTGGATTGGCTCAGCTCTGGCCATTGCAGTTACTTGGAAAGTAAACCACTGGATGGAAGATCTTTGTTTCTCCTTTTTTCTGTAAATCTGCCTTTCTTTTGTCTCCTTTTTCTGTAAATCTGCCTTTTCTATAAGAATAAATAAATCTTTTTAAAAACACGATAATAAAACAGAAATAGAGTATTGATTTCAGTCACTCTGCTTTCAAAAAAGGGGAAACAGAAAATCCAACAGTTCCACTTGCCAAAGCAGTTTTGAAATAGAGCTGCATACATTTCATTAGATTTTTACACTGGGGATGTTCTTAGGATTCTTGGTCCCACACCCTCATTACAAGCCTATTCTTCAGTTTGTCTTCATTTTTTGTTGAAAAGTAGAAGGTGTTTGCATTTGGGTAAATAAGTGTGTGTTTGTGTGTGTGCGTGCATGTATATATACACATGTACTTACTTATTTGAAAGACAGATAATCCTATAATTATGAAGAGAGGTAGCAAGCATGATAGGTGAGACATACCTGTTATCTGCTGGTTACTCCCTAAATGGCCACAAGAGCCAGGGTTGATGCCAGAGGCCCATCTGGTATCTAAACACTCCTGCTACACTTCCAGAGGCATTAGCAGGAAACCGGATCAGAAGCAATGCTCCCACACGAGTGCCAGGGCACTGCCCTTGCATCTTAGTATCTCTGTTCCCTTGTTCCCTGTGAGTGAAGACTGTGGAGTCCAATATCCTTCCCTTGCTTCCTGTGAGTGAGCATTGTGGAGTCCAACAGCCTCCCCTTGCTTCCTGCTGTCCCCGCTCCTTTCAGTGGGTTAGTAGTTGACTCTTGTCTGTGTCCAGGGCTTCATCTCATTACAGAAGAGGCTCCTCCACCCACCTCCCTCCCCTGAGCTACTACCTGGATTACTCCTCTTAGCTTCTTCCAAGCCTTGTTTGGAATCTCATACTTTGACTTATCAGATTTTGAGGGATTAACCAAGGTTTATAGTCACATCCCTGCTAGTTTTTCTGTAGTGGATATTTATTGTCCAGTTGGTCTCTTTCTGTGTTTTTCTCTAGCAACAACAAGATAACATCAAGCCACACCTTTAAATGGTAGGAAATGTCTTCAACTAAACAGTTATGGTCATGACTTAACACTATTTTCTGTGTAATTGCAGGACACAGTTCTGCTGAACTTTCTAATACTGTACAGGGCCCTGATTTCCTTTAGCCTGCCTCCATTTCCTTCTGCACTCTCAGGAGCAATCCATATGTCCATGAATATTTTCTATTCCATGAAAATATCTTCTAAATATTTTCTAAACCATGAATGTTTTCTATTACACATCACCAACTTGTTCCACATTCTGGTGTCAAAGCGACTTCCACATTATAGGTGGTTGTCACAGTAGTTCTCCATTTCTAGTACCAGAAGCTGGTACCAGGATTTTATTCATGCTGCTGCCAAAAAGAAAAAAAAAAAAAAGCAACACACGCATTCACACACCTCA